GTAATATTCTGGACGCAGCATTTCTAGTCAGATGGATCGGTAGAAGAGGCTTAAATAATGGTCACCAGATGTCTAGGCCTCACTCCTATTGACTATTTTTCATGGAGGTTACTTGAAGTGCAGATAAAGCCAGTCAACTTCGTTTTATAGTTCAGTATGTCGCTAATTGGTACACAGACATCACTTTGAGAATGTATTGAAGAAACATTCATAATGTGATTCAAATGTGTTTCATTTTGTGTGTGAAATTAGGTTAATTCATATTTCAAATGTTTCCTAGTCATCATACTACTGTCTCAGAGATGTCAACGTTCTTCACATTCATCAGATCACCGCTGCAAATCAAAATTCACCTCTATTTCTAGCTTCAGACATCACAATGCAGTGTACAATGAAACTCAGAAATATCTGAATATCACTCATTTTCTGAATGGCACACGCAGATACGGTTTTGGCAACAAAATGTAAAATTGAACCAACATTTATCAGAATGTATTTCATCAGTTCGGACTTCCATTGTCTAATATAATATAAATTGATTTGAAATTCCTGAAAAAAATAATTAAAAAGATCCACCGAAAATAACAATTTTATTGAACACAAAATTGAAATTACAAAGAAATAACACACAAGCAACAACAAAAAAAAATTGAAATATTAATAAAAGCTGAAAATAAAAAATATCATTAACAAAAAATGGAAAATTAAAATGAAAAAATTCCAAACCAAGTTACGTCACAACGTTTCAATTGTTAGTATCCGCAATCATTTTCGGGTGATAACAGGACTTTACATAATCAGTATGAACATAGTTGCAAGAATCATCGATATTTTTCACTTTCAGAATGAATAATAAAGAAATAATTCTTTCTTTTTTGTCTTGAAAAAGGAATAATGAGAGCAACTAGTTATTAAAAAGAATACTTGATTGACCCTTCTCGTAATCAATCCTGTAGCAGAATTCTACAAAAAAAAGAAAAAGGGAGAAATATATTTTATAAACATTATTAAATGGAGATGAAAGGCGACAAACCAAAATCTGTTTAAAAAAATCTGATTTTCCTTTAACCAGCTGTCGCACCCCTACGAACAACATCCTCTAGAAGTCGAAATCTGTGCGAGATAAGTACTAACTTTTTAAATTGTGATTCCTAACATGGGTTGGATGATAGCGAGTGAAAATCGATCGTTCAGTCTGGGGCTTGAACCACCGACCAACACGGCGGTCGGTTTGAGTGGATAATTCCAATACTTGCTCAATAATATGAAATAGTTGAGGTTAAAGTAGTGTGTGACAAATTAATTATTGATGTTTGGATGTTTCTGGGTTGTTAATGAGAAAAGCGTAATTGGCTCAATTTGATTGTTGAATCATGGTTAATGGTTACCTATGTTGAAAACAGTAGGATTTTGGAACATTATAGACTATCGGTTCAGTTTTGAATAGTGTAAAAGAAGTAGTTGAAGAACCAAAAAAAATATTTTTGTATGTGCTAGAACTTATTCTCGTTCATCTTCCAAAGAAAAAAAAACAATTAATTTCAAAATGAACTATTGAACTACGAGATCTGGCTATTTATAGGTCATTCGAGTTCTTTCACCTATCCCCTCTTCCCTCTCACCGCTTCATTGGTTTTAGCGGGAGATGACCGTTTGACGGGAGTTGGTCATTTTTCGCTTGATTAGAGGTGTCCATATGTTACGTATCTCTACGCTAGCTTGACTAAATGCATTGTTGAACAACATAAACGCAGCTTCTTTGAATTTTCACCTAAACTAGTGTTCCTCTTTGTGGATGATTTCAGCTTGAGCCTACTTGATGTAATGTAAATGAGTCCAAACATGCTCTGTTATTCCGGATTCGCTGGTTTCTCCTCGTTGTGTGTGTTTCTTGTGCACAGCAATGCGAACTTTCAATGGACTCTTCTCCGCACTCGCAGGGCATCCGGTAAATGCAATTCTTGGAATCGCAGTCCGTGTTTGGTGGCCTGGTTTTTGTGAGGCCGCTATGGATAGTGTTCCCAGATCTGAAGCGGGTCCTGATGTTATACATGGACCCAATCCTCCTCATTCATTCCGATAACCCTCTGATGTAAGGAAGTACAAGTACTGGCTGTGGCGACTTCTCTTCCTCGTGGAGCTCTTGCTGTTTAGTCTAGTCATAGCCTGTTCTACCATCACTCTGGAGTAACCATTCCGTTAGACAATGGAAGTCCGAATTGATGAAATACACCACGAAACATTGCAACCACCTTCAAACATTTATCAGAATGTAAGTATAATTTGATTTAGTAGAACCGTCATATTCTGATAAAAACAATACCATTTAACGAGTTTACTCCCATGGATTTCTTGCATATAAATGCCATGTGGAAAAGTAAATTAGCAGATACAGAGGGTACCAGATGGATCATCCACTAAATCGTACCAAGAAAGGAATTTGAATCATTAGACATTTGACAACAACTATAATTACATCAAGGCAAATCTAGTAACTTGCTTAGACCGATTGGGTTTTGAATTTTCGAATTTCGAATTTGAAGTCAAAATTTCGAAATTGAAATCAAAATTTGGAGTTTGAAATGGAAATTTTGAAATCAAATTGAAAATTTTGACAGGTGATGATCAACTGTATTGTCAAACATGCGCCAAACTAACTGACTGTTATAAGGAAACAAGTATAGCTGAGGCACCAGTCAATCTAATAATAACACTGATGATTTTAAAACAAGACTCAACCTCTAACGGAAGCAAGAAACTCTTTGGAAGGTTCGAAATAGATGAACATTTCAACCTAGCAGACCACGGTTATAATATTCATGCAGTCATTGTTCACTGTGGTTCTGGCGTTGAATGTGGTCATTATTACGCCTTGGTCAAAGAAGAAACGGACTGGTTTAAGTTTGACGATAGTCGTGTCACGAAGTGTTCTGGCGATGCATTGAATTTATTGGAGCCTCTGGAGACACCCTACATTTTGTTTTATGAGAGAGAGGACATTGTTAAATCAAGATCTTCAGATGATGTGGTGCTGCAGGTTTTTCCGGGTTTTCCTGCAGCTGAAAAAGCAAATGCGCCACTGGAATCAATGAAGTCGCCCCGGAGCGCCAATTAATTTTTATTGTTGTATTTATTTTATTTTTATCGTTGTTTCTACATCATTTCCGTGAAATTATACAAAAACTTTTGAAATCGATTTTCAGACTTTCCAAAATACAAGTAATAAAAATATATAACCCGTAGGACCTTATTTCACTCTTCAATACATGTACTATCATTCTATAATAATAATAATCTTCTGGAAAGTAACTTGAAATTCTCATTTACTGAAATAACTAGTGATCATGTCTGGGATGCTCTGAAATCTCTGAAATCGCAGGCATTGGGTTTAGATAATATTAGTCTGAAAATGATAACAATTGAGTTGCCTTTCTGCATAGAGGAAGTAAAACACATTTTCAATGAATCTTTGAGAACAGGTATATTTCCTGAATTGTGGAAAATTGCCAATGTCATTCCGATACCTAAAATATCCACACCTAAAAGTTTTAATGATATTCGTCCCATATGCATCTTACCTACATTTCAGATCAGACAATACCTGGATTTCAATAGTATCTTACCAGAAGTACAGTCTGGCTTTCGTTCGAAACATGGTACACATACGGCTCTATTGAAAGTCATAAATGATATATGTACTTATGGTGATAAATCTATACCGTCGATCCGAGTTCTCCTGGATCAAAGCAAAGCCTTCGATCTTGTCAATTTTCAGCTTCTTCCGGCGAAATTAAAATTCATAGGGTTTCAAGAAAGAGCTTTGGAATTAATGAATAGCTATATCCGAGGTCGATCACAAAGAGTAACGCTTGATAATAACCTGCTATGCTCAACCCTTAAAGCGACTATTTCTGGAGTACCCCAAGGTAGTATTCTTGGGCCCTTATTATTTGTAATTTTCATTTTTGATTATTCATCATTAACGAAGATCTCTAAAACACTCAAGATCATTCTGGAAAACATGGCTTGCGTATCAACCCAAACAAAACTGTTGCAATCTGCTTAGGCCCTCAGAGACAGACTTATCAGATCAAATAACATAGTCTCAGAATGAATCAAACGGACATTGAATGGGTTGACTCAACGAAAAATCTCGGATTGATTATCGATCAAAACTTCAACTTCAATGACCATGTCCAAAATATATTTAAAATAGCGTTCTTCAAACTGAAATTACTTCAAAAATTTAAATATCAACTATCAACCGAAATGAAACTTAAACTAGTCAAATCCCTCATCTATCCACATATAGAATACTGGGCTCCAGTGTATTATACTTTTCTACCGGATTATAATCGACAAAAGTTGCAACGCATTCAAAATTTTTGTATGCGTTTTGTTTGCTGTGTACATTATAGAGAGCACATTACTCCTTGAACATAAAGTGTAGAATGGAATATCTGATCACAATATTTCTTTTTAAACTCATCAAAAACAAAATACCCTTGTATTTATTAGAGCTTATAGTACGTCGTTCTAATATTCATAGCATCAATACCAGGTTCAATAATTTCAACATTCCAAACCATGTTACGTCTAAATACGAAGGATGCATTTCCTATCTGGCACCGTTATTTTTGAACAAGATAATTCCTATCCTGAATTCATCTTTATATGAAGTGAAACATCATTTGAAATCAACTTTGTTGACCAGCATGGAGTAATGTATTGTAGTATGGTGTTTTCCTTTACTTTTCTGCAAACTGAGATGTATTTATCATATTCTTTCTTTCAATTTTGCCGCTGAAGAAAATTGAATTATATTAAGTAATTACCTTATTGCTCATAAACGTTATTTGTATTACTTAGCAGGAGGGGTGGAAGATAGCCATTGGCTAACCCCTACCTTTTGTGTGTAATTTATGCACAATAAAGCTATTATTATTATTATCATTATGTATATGAATGCAAGTCTAAGTCCAAAAGTGCAAAAAATTTACATGATCGGTATACCGGCGTGCACATAGCCGCTGACTGCGTAGCCGAAGGGGGCCTCCGTCGAATTTGAGATGTTGACGGGCCGTTTTGGGCCCCTCAAGTTCTTCGTGCTCCGCTTCTTGAATGACAAGTCGGCAAGTGTTGGCCCCAGGATGCAACCTGGAAAGATAATATATCATCAAATTTGTGTCAGAGGTCACCTATATATGAAGGCTCATTTTTGGTTTTCAAAAAGAACTCAACAAGCTTTCAGCTGCTTCCATATTATCATTATGAATTTGAAAATGATAAATTTTCTTTCATGAATAGAATTTCTTATTACCCACAACTGAACCACTGTCATATCATCACAATATTATAATTTTTCAATAATGTACCATTTAATTGACATCTGCAACAATAAATCACAACACAACAAAGTTTTTGTTTCGGGGTTGAAATTAGATGATTTTAATGTATTTCCACGTGTTAAAACCGAAAGTGACCATAAAAATTATATATTAGCTCTTGTTTTCAAGATATAGTATCATTATATTATATATATGTATATTGAGTTTTCAACAAATGAAATATTTCATCACCAACAGTTGGTACACATGTTTGTTTACATAACACCCCTCTCATCAGCTGTTCTTAAGTAGTAAACATAACCTATGTGAGTTTGTCAATTGTACGCACGTGGTTGCTATTGAAATTATCGTGTGAAGTTGATTTTTAAATTAATTTAAGTGCTGATCTGAAATGCCTCGAAAGTGTGTGAATTCTGTCGATAGCTTTTGCTATATATGTGGTGAAATAACATTTAAGGCTCAGAAACGTAAAATGACACCTATCGTTAAGACAGCCTATGAACATTATTTTGGTGT